AGAGTATATACTTGTATAATACTCAACCCGTAAGTAATTTTCATTTAAATAGTCTTTTAGAGATAAGGTACTTACCCGACCTTTCCCATCCGTTCCCGAATGCCCTGCTCACAAGCTACATTCTACATTCATAGCATCTTACCGAGTTTTAGGATCATTTACCGTCCTGGGGATACTCAACCCCAACTGAGTTTCAGGATCATTTACCATCTCGGGGATACTCAACCCCAATCGAGTTTCAGGATCATTTACCGTCCGGGGATACTCAAACCCAACCGAGTTTCAGGATCATTTACCGTCCCGGGGATATTCAACCCCAACCGAATTTCAGGGTCCTTTAACTATGGACAATACCTAGCCCTATAGTCACATAATAATCCTTAATAATCAATTTCGACAGGTCCCACCCGAACGACCCACGTTATACTCATTCAAAATTGACCGTTTGGGTGTAAAACCCAATACCCGGTCGGGTACCCAACTATACCCGGTCGGGTATAGAAGGCAGTAGCCCCTGGGGCTATTTTAAATTAATTCGGGTACAACAGTTGACTTGGCAGTCAACGCCTGTTTGACCGCCCAAACGAAGTTCGATTAACGTGAAATTTTACATGATTTAATACCTATTTGGGTCCTTGGAACATCATGCACATCAATTTATAATATTTTCACTAATCAAACTTACATATCATGCTTTTAAACAATGTTATATTCTTTAATATGACATAACACATGATTTATTACCATTAATCAATTCATAAAACATATTATTGATTAATTTATGTAATTTCATGCCTCACGCAAAAGTTATAAAGCATATAGCCGTCTTCTCACCTTAATGAAGTTCTAGCCTTCCCAATTTAGCTCAGCGAAACTCCGGCGAACTTCAACGAACTCCAGCGACCCTTTCAACTCCGTGAAAGTTCTTGAAATACCTTATACAAGTTAATAACAAGATTTTATCATCATAAAACCCTTAACAACACAAATAACCTCTAAAATGTTATTTTCCGGCGAACTCGTCATTTTGGCCTCTAAGTCCGTTCTTGAACTTAGAACTACCTTTCAACCCCCATTCTACACTTTTAAATGTGTAGAACTATACTAGTACTAGGAGTACGGATTTTGATTAAAGAGAAGAAATGTGATTAATTAAATCATTACCTTGTTAACCACAAGTTTTCCCACCTAAACTCTTCTTTTCTCTTCTCGTTTTCCTTCCTTCTTCCTCCCTTGTCCTTGTTGCGTGTATGGATGATAACAATGGAGTTTTGCAGAGTTTCTCTCCCCTTGGATGCTGCTTGATACAAATGGGATGGGTTGGTGGGTGATTGAGGATGCCTTTTTGGCACTTCTCATAATAATACATGGGAGAGGGCCTCTTTCTGTTTCAAATTTGTCCCCCAATCACTTCCCCTTTATTTTCTTGCTCTTCATACGACTCTCCACACCTTTTGCAAGACTCAAAACGTGGGGTGGCCCCCACTTATGTGGGAGGTCATCCCTTTGTGTCCCCAACTGTACACTTGGTCCCGAAAGTTGTATTTTCTGGACTGTTTTAATTAATTTCATTTTATCGGGTCAAATAAAATATGTGTCATTCTCCCAATTAGTATCGACTTATAGAATGAATATATATTCCCCAACTTTTAATTTAGCCGTCTCCATAATTTATTATGCCTTTTATCTGTCATTACGCCAATACCGATAAATGGGCGTTATATGCACAACTGGCCTACTCACGTGGTTTTTATAGCCCAACATGGATATCCACCATCATATAAATATTATCTAGACCCAGATGAATATAATATGTGGTCTTGAGGATATCGGGTGGCCCCCACTTCTGGTGTGGGCCCACGTGAATTTAACTATTCATGTATAAGAAATGATAAAAATTTACAATTACTTAAAAATGCGTTTATTCATTTCCCATGATTCAATACATAATTTGATAAAGTACAAATACTTGGGGGCGGTGTTACAAAAATAGGCTCTGGGCATTTTCTTTTTGTTTAGGTAAAAATATATTAATTTTAATTGGATGCATCTGAGAGTTATAAAAAAATATGCTCTTTTTATTAGAAAATATGTATCGGAAACATGTTTACATAATTGGTTCAAAAATAAGGCGTACTCAATAAATTAGAATATGCATTTATAATCGACTAAATAAGTGATTTCCCATTATGCAAACTAAACTACAAAATCATTTTATCCCATGCACATCGTACTTTTTACTATGCACATTTCAGATTCACCTTGTGCACATTTCAATTTCACCTAATGCACATTACAGTTTCTTCTAATGCACACAAAATTTCACTTGAATCAAATCTAACGGTTCAGATTCATTCTCATTTCTCTCATAAGACCGTGTTCTTATTTGCACCAAAACCAGTACATACACACACACACACACACACACACACACATATAGTAGAGATCATATGAGAATATCATCTTAAGCGAGAATTGAGAATGAATTATAGCCATTAGATCTTGGGGTTTATTAATAATTCGGAACTCTCTCATTAAGGGCAATTAGGAAACTTCCACATCATTATACAGATAACGGATGGCTTCCATAACCGCACTACATATTCTTATTAAATTTTGTTTGACCAGTCAAAATCAATTCTTTTCTCCACTTCCCTTTTTTTAAATGCTCTTTTATCTCCAATTCGGTTCATTGAGGTTTTGTTTACTTTTTCTTTATCATTTCATTATTTTATGTTTTACACACTATTTCTTATATTTTATTTTTTTCATAACATTTTTCTTTGTACTTTTCTTTACATATATCTTCTATTTAGTTTTTGCATTTTTCATTCTATCTATTTTGATTTATCTATTTTTGGGACTTCTTTATGTGCAATAAAGATGTAGGTCACGTTTATAAGAATTCATTTCATATTAATTGAAAACTGCACAACAACTCATATGTAAGTGCACAACATAACTAAGATTACTTTGATGCACTTATCATATCTTATTCATGCACTTTCCATTATTTTTAGTTTTCTTTTTTTACAAACACATGTGGCACCAAAAGACAATGTCTTAATTAGATAATTGTCACTAAAAGGGCCTTAATTTGTGCGATATAATAGTGCACTTTTGCATATATTTAAAACACACATGATAAAAATACATTTAACTTTGTAACAAAGTGCAAACATAAAAATTTTACAAAGTACTCCATGTATAATATAATGGACCACTTTTTATTTATATCAGAAATGCTCGTGATAGCTATTTGTTTACAAATCCTCACATGTTTACTTTCATTTTCACTTAGAAATATATAGAAGTGCACAACTACAAAGACTAAAGTGCATATTAATGACTTAAGTGTAAAGGTTAATTGAATAAAAATATTAATTTTGTCCTTAAAAAATCGATAATAAGATAATAGTCATCTATTAACTTCTATTATGATAATAATGATAAATTTTGTGTTAAAATTTGATGCACTTTTCTTATTTTCTTCATGCACTTTTCAATAGTTTTCATTTTACATTTCCCCCGATAAAAGTGACACTAGAAGATGGAATCATAATGGAATTCGTGATGTTTTCGGAAGAAAAGTGCATTTCACTGTGTAAAAAGTGTTTATGTAAAATTTTAGAAAAATGTGATACTAGTGCACTTTTATACATATCTAAATGCACACTAAAAGTGCATTTTACTTTGTAAGAGAGTGTCAATGTAGAATTTTAGAAAACATTATAGTTGATAGTTTACACCCTTATATATTTAGTTAAATCTATGTTGCATAAATTTTTAATAAAAGTGCAGCTATTATATACTGCAGTGCAAATTGTGTGAATAACCTTGTTCAGTGTTGAATAAAAGTGCATTTGTACAAAATCATAATGCAAACCTTTTGACATATTATAGTTTAATATTTATGAGGAAGTATTTATTTTGAAAAAAATTATTTGATCAATGCAAAAAATAAACATGAATTTTTAAAAGGTAATTTAATTATCCAAACCAGAAAAACATGTGAAAAATAAAATATGAGGGAGTTCTATGTGGAGGAGCTACGTTTCCTAATTATTAGGAAAGATCCAATTGCTATAAGACTATAAGTTCACGTGTGCAAGTGATAAATAAAAAATTCAATGCCTATTAAATGGATGTCCAAGATTTTACCAAAAGTTGAGAAACATAAGAGATTTTTATGGAAAGAATGGTAGTGGTCGGTTATAGAGATAAATGTAACCTTACCTCTTTACGTAAATACCCTTCAGTTATAAAACCCATCATGCAAAAAAAAAAAACCATTCATGCTTTCCTATTTTTCCTCTAACAACACATTCCGTAACATCCGAGTTTTGAATTCCAAACCTCATGTTTCGGCCGCATGATTCAATTAATGTGTGGTTGGATTTAATTCTCATTTCTCTCCTAAGAGAGTGTTTTCACTTGAACCTTCCCCTATATATATGTATATATATAGAAATGCTCAGGTCCATCCGGAGGGACGGGAGGCTCCGTCCGAACTTTACTGTTTGAGGCGGTTCCCGGTGGAATTTTTTGATGAAATTTTTTGAGCATGTTGCTCATCAAGTCTAGTTTATCCATACTAAATTTCAGCTCAAACTTCGATCGAGAAGGCATTCAAATAAATTCTTGAAACATACTGCACATTCTGCGCACATATAATGTGCAGTATGTTTCAAGAATTTATTTGAATGCCTTCCCGATCGAATTTTGAGTTGAAATTTGGTATGGATAAACTAGACTTGATGAGGAACATGCTCAAAAAATTTCAGCAAAAAATTGCACCGGCAGTAAAGTTCGAACGGCACCTCTCGTCCCTCCGGATGGACATGATCATTCCTCTCTCTCTCTCTCTCTATATATATATATAGAGGACTGGTCAGGTCCCTCCGGAGGGACGGGAGGGACCGTCCGAACTTTACTTTTTGGGGTGGTTCCCGGTGGAATTTTTCGATGAAAGTTTTTGAGCATGTTCCTCATCAAGTCTAGTTTGTCCATACCAAATTTCAGCTCAAAATTCGACCGGGAAAGCAGTCAAATAAATTCTTGAAACATACTGCACTTTATATATGCGCAGAATGTGCAGTAAGTTTCAAGAATTTATTTGACTGTCTTTCCAGTTGAATTTTGAGCTGAAATTTGGTATGGACAAACTAGACTTGATGAGGAACATGCTCAAAAAATTTCATCATGGTGAAGGTATGCATTTCTACTTTTCATTCTATCTTCTATCATTTTGTACAAAGACTGAGTAATGGATGACATAATTGCATTTACAAAATGTACTCCAGATGTAGATAGTGTGACCTTTTCAATCTCTCCTCGGGATTGTGGTGTTGGAGAAGGTAGTTGGGCTGGTCTATGCTTCAATCCAACCCAGTGGTCCATGGTATATTTTCTCGTCATTTTATTTCTTATAATTTTCAATGCACTTGTTTCGATTGCATAGTAGTTAACCACTTTTCAAAATTTCCCCTGAAGTGAGATTGAGGGTGTCAAATCATTTAAAAAAGTTAAAAAGATAGTGTGAATTGGAAAAGTAGAAAGATGATTTAACGAGGGCAGACTGGGCAGTGTATTCACTTTGAGACCAATAAAATGGACACACGGAGTATTTAATTTCAGCAACTTACGAAAAAACTGAAGTGACTAATGAGTATAGTGAAAATAATTAAAGAAATTGTCTTAAATAGTAGTAAAAACTACGTAGTATTTGGTTTCCATAAGTAGGAATACTGTGTTTCTTTTATGTAATATAAGTACTCCGTAGTAATTACTGACTTACTGTCATCCTAAAATGTACTGCCATATAATGGAAATAATATTGCCGTATTAAGGCCTGGTAATGCCTTAATATGGCAGTATGATTTCAACATTGTAGAACTCTACTCCTATTTTGAAAATAAACTCAGTACTCCTAGTTAGGAAGATCACCTTGTTTTTACTCCTATTTTGGAAAATTTCCCAAATAATTAAAGGTGGTTGAAATTAAACATTGGGGGAATATGCTAAAGGTATTTGCAATGTCTTGTCTGCCACCGATTTCAAGTTAATTAGCCTCATAATGCAATTATTTTTTGTTTTTCATCAATAAGTGATCACATTCTGTTTTTTTCTTTTTGATGCAATCTCATGGACATGAGAATAGAGACCCACCCTTGTTCCTTGTCCTATAAACTTCACTAATCAACTGAGTCTTCTGCAGGCAGCTGTTGCACACAGTTTTGGGAAGAGCATTGATGTGTATGACCAAGATATTCATCTTCGCACTTTACGCACGCAAGTACCTTGTTACTTCTTTTTTTACATTTTAGTCTTATGTTCAGCTGAGAATAGATGGATTTGTAAACATGGAAACCCTGTTATATGTTGTTGCTTAAAGATGTGTCCTGAATCAATTATCCCTCAATCCCGTTAGCAGATTGTGGTATCCAACTTCACTGACTTTTATGCAAAATCTGAGTGGTCAAGGCGAATGCTCCACGCTAGCCCTCACAGAAGGGTGCCAGGTATTTCCTTTGTTTGGTATGTTAATAGTTGGTCACTTGGTCTTGTTCAGAATACTTTTTTCCTTTAGTTTTAGGAAAACGTAATCCTTCCACTTCTTACATTGTATTTATTCCTTATGGACAAAAGAAAACGAGGATATGTTCAAAATGAAATACCCTCATAAAGTATGTAGAACTGTTTGAGAAAAACACATTTAGGATATTATAGTATTTATATTACTTACTCCTTAATCATTTCAAAGTTAAGTAGACAATATAATATTCATGCGCAGACATTTTGCTCCCTACAAACGAAACAACGAAAATTTTCTTTTGACTTCTTGTTTTCCATTTCTGAGCAATAAATATTATTTTCCCCACATATCCCCATGAATTCTCTTAATCATGCTATTATTCTCTTTCCTAGTCATTTATTGCCATATAATTTACTGCAGCTTAGCATATGGGACTTACGAATGAGAGAAAAGGGAGGGTGTGTGCATAGAATTTATGGGTCAGTGGGAGATATTTTATATTCAGTCTGTGAGTCTTCGAATGGAAGTATTGCAGTTGGTGGAGCTGATCGCACTGTTTCTGTCTACGACCCTCGCAGGTTGTGGCTTGCTTTATGAAGTATTAGTCATTCCACATATTAATTTGGCTGCTAAAGTGTCTCACTTATTTTTGTCCCTTTTGGTAGCCTTACCCAGCTTATTCTGCAGAATAAGTAACTTTTGATTTAGAGCCTGTTTACAAGGGTTATTTGGTTGAAATGGTGATCGGAAAAACAATTTGTAGAATTCATTTCAGCCAAAAGCAGAACATAGCAGAATCAAGCTACCAAACATACTCTTAATTATTTGGCTGAAATGAATGTTACAAATTCTTTACATTTAAGAAAATTCAGCGGATATGTCCATTTTAGCCAAATATCCTTTACCGAATGGGGTCTATATGGGGGAAGACGTATTGATATATGTTCTTCTTCCTTGCCCTAAACTCATTGAATGCAGATGGTCGACAGTGTCAAGATGGATGAACTGCTCAAAGTATGAGGTCAGACCGTCAGATTCTTCTATTGGTGACAATTATCTGAGAAGCATTCATTTAGATAATGTGCTCTTTATCATCAAAAGTAGTCTTTTGGTTTCCAATCACTATTAAGTTTTATCTATATTGCAGATAACAAGACTTGCTTTCTCTTCATTTGATTCAGATTACATTTATGTGCAAGGAGTTGATTATGAGGTGTGAATTGCTGATTTTTTTCTAGCGACGTTTAAAACCATTGTTTATGAAACTTGTTTGTCTGTGGGGACTGGGACAAAATCTTATTACTTATTATCATGAAACACCAAACAATTTTTTTGCTCAACAGTTTTTATTAGCAATAATAAACTGGCTATGAGCCTATGAGTCTCTTATGATATACTTCTACTATTAAAGTATCCATGTTTGAAGAAGGTTCCACACTTCCACTATTTTAAGTCCATAATCTTACCACCAATTCTTTTTTTGGCATTTTACATTTACGAATTAGCTATATTTCAAGAAACATGAATTCTTCTTTTCTTTAATATTCAAGTCAAGGGGTTTTCATGATTTTCAGCTTAAATGTGATAGAGGTATTTTATGGCGTGTCAAATGTGAAAAGTTGGAGAGAGAAACACATCAATGAAGGGCATTTATGTCCATCGACAACTTTTGATAATCTAAAAAGAACAAGTGAAAAAACTACTTGATTCCTTTAAAGGAATGATCTAAGTAATAGACAATGGAAGGTGTTAGTTTGTATATATCTATACATACATACATACATACATATTTGTGTGTATAGATATATATTTGCATTCTTTTAACACAACGTTATATACGAGCTTGCTGGACTGGCAGGTTGTGTGTGGATATTGGAGCGATGGAAAGAAAGGTTTTTCATTTAGAGGTGATTCAAACTGGCTGGGGTTCAACAAGGTATGGTTTATATGGTGATTCAATTGGAATACAATGTGAGATGGATCATTTATAGTGGGTGGAATTGAGTTATTTTCTTTTTTTGGTTTAGTGCTGTGCCAGGGACCTGGTTGGGGGATGGTGTGATTCTGGGAGCTTGTTTCTGGCTGATGTTATCTTAAGCAGCAAGGAAGAACATCAAGAAGAATAAGAAGACAATGTAATGGATGCTTTCAAAGAACCATTGAGGCGAGGTCTGATGCTTTAATTGTTATACCTTGACTACTATTTTTGAGTTTGAGTTCAATTCCAATGTACCTCAAAACAGTCTTGCAGTTTTGTGGCTTTTCAAAAAATATGTGTATTTAAATATCATATCATTGTTATATAGTTGGCTAACTTGGCTTGATAGCCCTTACCTGAGCTCATAACATGTCTTAGGAAGTGTCCGTGATAATACAATATGCAATCATTGTTTGTCTACATATTTCCACCATTTTTAGAATAGCTATTGTATAAATATCAATAACAAAATTAAACTCCAAATTTATTTATTTAATTTGTACATCATAATATTAAATCTAATAATCATAACCAACGTAAAAGATATATCATTATTTATGATTGTATATATACCTAAATTTTATGATTATTTATATTTATAACATAATGAAGTTAAGTGATTAGTTATTATATACTACATATATATGATTAAATGTGATAATTCTATCATTCATGATTGTTAATGTATATGTATATATGTATTTTATACACACAAAAATACAATATTACTTATCATATTTATACAAAAATATAGATAAAAATGCAATTCTTAAATATATAAAAATATATATATATTATTACCCATTCTGTAATATGAAGTAATATGTATTAATATTAAAAATATTTTATTCAGATCAGAACTAATCTAATTGTATATTTGTATCTTAAATATTTAAATAAGAAACATTGAAATCGAGTTATAAACTGAACAATCTCTTAGTATTCAACACAAGTTGACAAAACAATTTCTCAAGGTTGATTATTTCGATTCGTTTCTGAACCTCTGCTGAACGACAGAATACCTTATGGCAGCAGCAATAAGATAGCAAGGAGGACAGCCTTGAGATTAGTGAAAAATGGACCCATCTTTGACCGTTGAATTGTTTATTAGACCATTCCCAAAAGTGAGGCACCCTACCTTGTTCTTAAGGAAGGCAGAGGTTCTCGTTCTTGATTATTTCTCAAAAGTTTTTTGCCAGAAAATTTACAGTGGGTGAAATCAATCTATACATTTACACACCTCACCATATACTCCGTAATATAAAAGGATGTTAAATATCAACACATTATTATGCACACAATTAAAACCACAATTTGAACATGACTGATGCAATCGCTTTAAAACTAAATGAACATATAATCACTAAGTAAAAGTTGAACCATGTTGCAAAGCGCAAACAGGGAAATAAACATCATACTCGTAACTATTTTCTCCATGGTTTTTGTTTTAATTATTAAAAGGATTATTACCTTATTTTATCTCAAACTATCATCAAATTTACAAATCTATCATATTCTTTCACTTTTATCAACAATTATGGTTTTCTTCTTCTTCTTTTTTCAAAATTACAAATTTTATCAATACCAATAAGATATAAGCAATACATGTAAACTTTAAACTAGAAAGAAGTGAAAAATATGAAATATAAATATGATTTTATTCTTAAGTTTTACTAATTCATCGTGTAATTGTGGGAAAAATTGAAGTTCAAGTCTTTTTTAAATAAAAGTAAAAGTATGGGATATATTTGTGAATTCGATGATAGTCCACAAATTTGAATAATTAATAGGGAAAACTACAGTAAACATACTTGTGGTTTGGGGTGTTTTCAATTCGGGACATGAGATTCATTTCTTGACAACCACGGGTAGGGATGGACCCGGGCTGGTCCAGTTCCGGTTCCGGGCCAGGCCCGGACGGGCTTTTTTCCGGTTACATGGGCCCGGAACCGGCCCGGGTTGATACCGGGTCCGGGCCTAACCGGGCCGGGCCCGGTTCAATGTTTAATTTTTTTTTGCTTTCTTGTTATCCCCCGATCCCCCCCCCCCTCACCCCCACCCCCAAACCTCCCCAAAACACCCAGCCCTACCCTAGGAAAAGAAAAAAAAATTGAAAAAACCAAAAAAAAAAAACATTGAACCGGGCCCGCCCCGAACCGCCCAGGCCGGTTCAACAAATATAGGGCCCGAGCCCGGCCCGCCCGAACCGCCCACACGGCCTAAAAGCCTGGAACCGGCCAACCGGTCCCGGTCCTGTCCGGGCCCGCATAGTAGCGGGCCGGGCCGGTTCCGGCCCGAGCCGGCCCGTTTGAGTCCATCCCTAACCACGGGCGCGTGATTCCACTCCGTTATCTCACCCGGGGCACCAGGCCTTATGACGTTAGTTTGGGCTGATGTGGCAAAATTTTTAACGGTGAAATTTCAAATGGTTCATTTACGCATATACACGTGGCTTATCTTTTCTGCGTAATTATTAAAACCCTTCAACCTCTTGTTTAATCCTGTCCTTAAGACGTCGATGAAGGAAATAAAGAAAGGGGAGTAAGACGGTGATGAGTTCTTCGAGCGTTGAGTCCCAATAGATGGATGGAAGAAGACGAATTAAGAGGTGTGAGTGTGGACTCCAAGAACCAGTGTGGACTGCTATGACAGACAAAAACAGGGGGGAAAGATTTCATGGGTGTGGTCGTTTCTTGAGTGCTCAACAATGCAATTTTTTTGAATGGGTTGAGGATGAGGAATGTGTTACTTGTTTGAGACGGATAGATACTTTGCTCCAGAAGATTACCAGTGTTGAAGAGAATTTCCGAGTGAAAGAATTGGAGATGCACGCTGAAATCAAGAGTTGTGTTCGTGGGATAGGGCTTTTGAAACTCTAAAATATGGAAGAGGAACTTAAGATGTCAAAGAAAGGCAATAAGACTTTCTCTTGGAATGTAGTGTGGTTCGGATTGTTGGTTATCATTTTGCTGGGAAGTAGGATATATTAGGTGTGTAAGGTTGCCATGTGTTTGATAAAATGTGTCACTCAAACTTCACTCTCAATTAATTGTCATTTTCTTTAGCAGATGTTTAGTTCTTGTGTGGTTGTATGTGGGTACTGATTTGGTTGTTGGATTTGGATGTATTGTTGTAATGAAGATTATGAATTTGGTTATGAAGCTTATGGTCTTTTTGAAGCTTTTGTTGTCTATTATCATATTGATTGGAAGCATATGTGTATTACATATCCTACTGAGGGATTTCTGCAAAATGGGTTTAAGCCATTATGGAAGCATATTAGATGACAAGCAAATCAGATGTGAATGATAATGTTTGACTCCCTAAGCTTTTGTTCTTTATTGTCATGTTTATTATCATGGACTCCCTAATACATCCTTTATGGACACATCAGATTAGCAATCCCATACTAAAACATAATAATCTGATTAACATCCCATACTGAAACATAATAATCTGATTAACATCCAACTGTAAGATAAAGCAAAGCAACATAATAATCTGATGAACATCCAATTGTAAGTATAATAGGAACATCCTATTATACTGAAACATAACAATATGACCCATACTCATTTCATTCCATCCAAAACAACAAGTACACAGTTCCTGCCTTTTAAGATAAAGCAAAGCAATGTGTGCAAGTACACAGACCATACATTCATTGCTAAAATCCATCCAAAACATAGTACACATTACATTTCAGCTAAATAACTGCAAAAACCAATCCAACTGACATAACAAATTGTTTGCTACATTCATCACAGTTACAATTACAATTACATCACCATAACATCAAGCTCAGACATCTTTTCAGCAATTATATGACATCCATTCAAATTGAAGCAACCCCATGTTCAACAATGATTGTCCTGCACACATAAACAACAATTTTAATAGGTATACAAGCAATGATTTAAAGGTCATTAATGTCACACCATTAAGTCATACCAGGGACTGTGGTGGTTGTGAGCTGCAAGATCTGGTAATTCTTCTTGATGAAGTTTGTTATGGTTGAGAACTAGAAGTCTTTCTTCTTTTTCTTGAACTTGTTGCATTTGGAGTGGAAGCAATATGGACTGATTCACTGGTGGTCTGCACAACCTGAGTGTTGACATGAGAATCTTCATTTTCAGCTTCATGAGCATCAGGTTCTTGGCCTCCTCCCGTGGAAGACTTTTGTTTTCTTAGCCTAATTCTTCTCTGCCATGGGGTTTCTCCGATAAGGAATGTCTTACATCCTCTTACATTATGGCCCACCTGCTTACAATTACCACAAACAACCTGCTTCCCAGACCTAGAAACCTTATATGGATTCCTTGTTTCTTCAGGAGCTCTAATTCTCTTTTTCTTTGGCCTACAAGCTGGTTTTCTTGGAATGGGTGCCTTGATGTCAAGGTAGTCAGTGGTTTCCCACTCTTCTTTACTAAGGACAGGGTGAATCATATGGTTATACACTACCAGGTAGGTATCTTTTGAGCAATAAGGACTGACATACTCCTCAGGTTTTTCTCTATTGGCATAAGTAGCAGACACTCCATGTTTGTAGGGGATACCATTTAAATACCACATTCTACAGGTGCAACTTCTTTCATTCAAGTTGACCACATAGCTTCTATCAAAATATTCTACCTCATAAAGCTTGTCACCAGCTGGTGTGCAAAAACAATTCCTACTCTCATACTTGTATTTTTCTTGAAGGTCTTGTTTGTTAGGACAGATTGCCCCATTATATTTCAGCATCCCGGTGTACTTCACATGAAACCTTTTCATTAACCGTTTTCTAATCCATTCAAACATACTTAGGATAGGGAAATCTCTAGCTCTAAGAATGTAAGAACTGAAAGACTCACATATGTTGTTTTGTAGGGCATCTGACTGGGTATGTGGTGAGAAATGAGCACTACTCCAAGTCCTAGGGTCATATTGCAGCAACCAAGTGTGGGCACTGACATTCATGTAATTTCCATGTTTATTTTGGTATTTTTAATTAGTTTAGATTGATTGTTACTTTGGAAATTACGCACTTTTGGTGTAATAGTTTAGTTTGTAAAATATTTGTAATTTGTTTAGATTAGGTTTATTCTGAGCTCAAACAAGTCCAAGTACACTTTGGGGACCATGGGTGAACACCACAAGTGGAAGGAAAGTGCAAAAATGCAAGAAAAAGAGGTGAAGATTTCGAATTTGGTCTGTACCCGGTCGGGTATGACCTATACCCGATCGGGTACCCTACTGGAAAATCAAATCGGATCAACCCGGGAACCAAGCAACATGCGGGGAAGATTTTGACCACGTTCGAGTGTCATACCCGATCGGGTGACCGACAGACCCGATCGGGTATGACCTTATTTTTCAGCTTCTGGGAAGCTTCTGAGTGTACCCGATCGGGAGCCTTATATACCCGATCGGGTACACACCCCTGCATGC